ACCCTTCCCACACTCTTACAATATTCTGAACAATGTTTCTAAACACTAAACGCTCTAAAAGAGCATAGCATGTCATGATCTCAGCTCTCTGCCTCCGGCTGCTCTCTGCCACCTGCCAGCGCTCTTGGCCACGCCCACTTCTCCGCTGCAGAGTGGAGCTATGACAGGCTGCATGAAGAAGCTTCTCCTGCAGCTTGGGCTGCACACAGGTGCTACATAATTTAAAATATTTTATTTAAAATACAAAATCCATGCTGATCGTCCCTCAAGCAGCCAAATGTGTGTCATGTCCAATCTTACTTTTTAAAAAACTGCGATAGCACAAGTCTGCGATAAACAAACCGAAAAGTAACGAAGGACTACTGTACAGCTAAAAGGTTTAAAGTTTTAGCATTTTCAGTAATTTCTTCAAATCTATTATTTTTATTCCACTTTGAAGCTAATAACCAAATCATTTTCATCTCATATATTTGATACTACTTGGACATTTAAAACAAAACAATTTAATGTATTTATGTATTAATTTAGTCTGGTAAGTTGGTCCTGCAGTGTTTAACGACCCATTAAAGGTGAGCTAACGTCATTTTACGACAGTTTCAGATGAATATGGCAGAATAATTTATATAACATTAATTAGGTTAACCGTAACGTAGCTTTACATAAAAGTTAGAGAAGTTATCATTTACGTAGGGTTGCCATGCACCTTTCAGAAATGAAAACGGCTCCTCCAGGCCACGACCACCAGGGGCCCAGTTCCTGTGGGTCATATTTAAAATTTAAAATGCTTTATTACTAATAAACATGTTACATGGAGCACCTGTTCCTGCAGCCATTCTGGAAAATATCCATTCAACATGTCCAGTGGATGCTGGGATGATGCCAGACGGCAGGTTAGGCAGGTCATCGTCAAAGAGAGCCACCCACCTGGCAGCCACCCATTTGGACTTCCATTCATCTCCAGCATCTTTGAGCCTCTTCTTAGGTTTTGAATTCATCATAAAGTTCATCCGTGTTGACTTTATGGATGAGGTTGAGCTTGGTGGTCGCCTACCTCAAAGAGAGAGAGGATATTATCACAGAAGAGGAGTTTAACCTCCACAATGAGCTTTAACAAAGCTCCAGGTTGTTTGGGTCACTCCGCCCCCAGGCTGATGACGTAGGATTCCAGTGCATTACATTAGCCGGGTGATGGCGGGATTAAGAGAGAGCCACCTGGTTGTGACATGGAGAATTTCCTGGAACTCAACATCATAAAACCTACAAAACTCTTTGAGTGATTCTCTTCGTTTGGCTGATGTGGAAAAGCAGCCGTCGACCTTCAGGACATGATGTTCCACATCTGCAGTGAGCTGCTCCAGAGCATGCTCCACTGTGTTGTGCACCATGTGGGCATGGCAGGTTCCATGCAGCAGGTCTTTTTGTTTCTTCGTCAAGTTGGTGAAGACAGAGTTGTGAGTTCTGTAATAATGTGAATGTTTATGAAGCATTCACACTATTGTGATCCATTTTTCTTCTGTACGTTTTTTTTTTTTTTTGTCTTTCTCGTTCCACAATTTTTTGTGCAATTTCAACAAATCATATCAAAACATTCAGCTCGTTCAGGAGAAAGGTGCTATGACTTTTGGTATTGGTGCAACTTTAGCTTTTTGAAATATTTAGCCTTTTCTGCCATTTTTTTCCTCATAGAAAATGAGTTGAGCTCATTTTATATCCTTCAGATCTTTAGATGTGTTTCCAACCTTTTACTGCTCCTTTCACATTTTGTTCTGCTTCAGCTTCTTTCAGCTTCCTTGTGCAAATTTAAACTTTTTTCCAGCTACTTTCAGCTGTTTTTTCAGCTGTTTTGTGATCATTTCTGCTTCTTTCTACTAACTACAACAAACATGCTTCTTCTAACTTCTTTCTGCTAACTTCACTTGTTATGCTTCTTTCAGCCTATTTATGCAAGTTTCAGCTTTTTCTGCTATTTTAGCCAATATTTAGCTGTTTTAGTTTTTTCAGCTAATTCCACATTATTTGCACTCATTTAACTTTTTTCAGCCTAATTCGGCAAAAACTTGCTCTCTCCACTTCCTTCTGCTAATTTCAGCTTATTCTACCTTTTCAGCTAGCTTTTTAGCATTTTTAGCTCATTTTTTTCAGATAAATTTAAGTTTTTCATAGTAATTTCTGTTACTTTCAGCCTAATTAACTTCTTTCTACTAATTTCAGCTTGTTATGCTAGTTTCAGTTATTTCAGCTACTATTTAGCTGTTTTATGCTATTTTAGCTTTTTCAGCTAATTCCACAGTTTTTAGCTCATTTCAGCTCTTCTACGTCCTTCTGGTAGTTTAAGCTTCTTTCTGCCTTTTCAGGTATGTTTTAGATGTTTGTTGTTGTTGTTGCTAATTTCAGCTTTTTTAATGTAATTTCATAATTTCTGTGCTCATTTCTGCTTATTTAAACCTAATTCAGCAAATATGTGCTCTTTCTGCTTTCTTCTGTTCATTTAGGCTTGTTCTTTATTTTCAGCTCAAATTCAGCATGTGTTTTAATTTATTTTCAGCTGTTTTTCAACAAGCTCTTCAGCAACAAGCATTCACACTGCGTTTTTGCAGGAAATGCAAAGTCTTTAGTTCATATTTGTATCGTCTGCACTAAATGCTGTCACTTGATCAAATGATGAGACTAACTTGTCAAACGACAGCTCTGAGAGCTACAGTCCCAGCAGCGGACTCGACTGCATTTTCCATAAAATCCAGCATTTTGTTGGTGACCTCACATTCTATGCTGAAGCACTGAACATTTATTCGATTATTATTATCTTTATTTGCTGCATCCGCCTGAATGGATGGGAGGGGTTTATCTGATGTTAGGGTCATGAGAACATCACTCACTGTCTTTGAAGCAAGGACATCTTCAACTACCGCCTCTGCCTTTGTTCTCTCCATAGTCTTTCATATATATATATATATATATATATATATAAGTATACTTTTTGAATCTGGTGAAATATTTTGATTCACAGTGAGCGCTGTTGTAGCCGAGGTTGTGTCCGACTGTGGGGTTCACCTGCGTCACCTGAGCTGTAGTACAGGGGAGGATCAGATTGTTAATTCAAGTGAACAGCCTGTGTCTGCTGTCTGTCTGTTTATAGACATGAGAAGAAGTCTGATCATACAGTTAAACCACATTAATAGCACAATTCATGTAATGATAACTGAACACCAAAAATATAAATGTTTTGATACAGAAAGCTCGACAAACATTTTTAATCTAGGAAATGTATAACGTAAACATTTTCTCTTAACAAATGCATTTATTAATTTAACTGTTAATCCATCAGTGTAATTTGTTCTTTAACTGTCTTCATATAATGTTAATATTGTCTAATGCTGTATATAAAATAAAGTATAATTTATTCATCTTTAAAAACTCTACCTGGTAAACAATAACTCTGATTATAATAATGCCTGTGTGACACAGAAGGAGTTGATGATTAATGTTAGATTTATTGTTGATGTGTGACAGACGTGTTCGAAATTTATGGAAATACAAAACAATTGTTGGTTCAACAGGATGCAACATTTAATTTCCAAAGAAAGGACAATTTTGTTCTATGAGACACACGACGGGTGGCAAACCTATAGGTCAAAGTTTTTTAATACATTTTAATTATAAAACTTTAAAAGTGAAATATATAAAACACTCAGCTTTGTGACTGTAGTGAGAATAAATTAGCAGTAAGTTGTGTAAACTAATAATAAATTAAATTTACAATGAAATCTAAAAAAGTTACAACTGTGTTTGACAAGCTGCGCAATCGTTATTTTATAATAAATGATCTAAGAATAAAAAAACACTGAAGAATCAATAATATTTGTAAAATGTTTCAAATCAAACTTTACATCTGGAGGTTGTAATAAAATTGCATTATTGGCTGAGGGAAATCAAAATGAAAGTTTTGAGTTAAATAACATAATTTGTGTGAAGCTTAATGGTGTTATATTATAATATTTGACCAACAAGTTTTGAATTATAAAAGTTAAATGTAATAAACTAAATGTCATTATGTGTGTTAAACTAAATCCAGGCAAAGTTTACAAATCTTTCTGCAAAATAATTTGCTAAAGATCTTTTTGATGACCTAGCAAAATACTTTTTAATAATATTGTGGAATATGAAACAGGTAATTTATCTAAGAAAACTTATCAACATTTCAGAGTTGTTCCTGTTCTGCGCAGAAATAAATGGCCTAAAATTCCCTCAAGGTTTGTACGACTGACCAGCGTTTCTGTGTCATACAGGAAACTGTTACTAAAGACATTAATGATGTGAAATTTGAAGCAAAAATATTAAAAATAGCATGTGTGACCAGTGAACTGCCACATTATCCCCAGAGTAGTAACATGAGCTGGTGGTTTTATTTGTCCCTGAAGGCACCACAACTACAGAGACCTGAGCAGCAACTACATGGAGGCCTTGTGGATGGTCTCCGTCACCTTCTTGTCCATTGGGTATGGAGATGTGGTCCCTCACACCTACTGCGGCCGCAGCATCTGCCTCCTGACGGGGATAATGGTGAGGTCGATGACGACGTGCTCTGTGACACGTCAGATAAAAATCAAACGCCGATTGTCTTCTTTGACCTCGACAGGGAGCCGGATGCACAGTCCTGGTTGTGGCTGTGGTTGCCAGGAAGTTGGAGTTAACCAGAGCTGAGAAGCATGTTCATAACTTCATGATGGACTCCCACATCTCCAAACGGGTAAATATTAATGTCACAAACAAAACGTCTGTATTTTACAGAAGAGGATTAGAGCCGCGGTGCAATAATTTTTTTCGTCTTAATTCTAAGAGAAAAAGTCAGAATTCTGAGAAAAAAAAGCCAAAATTCTGAGATTAAAGTCAGAATTCTAAAAAAGTTAAATCTGGTCCTCTGGACATCCAAAAAAACAAAACAAAGCAAAATAACAACAAAAAAATGTGGAAACGTTTCATCTCTCATCCGAGAGACTTCCTCAGTCTGAGGAGCTGTATTCAGCTCAGTCTCTTAAATAGCACCTTCTCAGAGTGGATCAACCAGTTTTGCTGCTGACAACCAAAACCAGCTGATCACATGCTCAAGAAGGACCATCAGCCTAACAATGGATCATTAGCACACTGATGGCTGCTTACTATTCTATGTAACGATCCATTGTTAGGCTGATGGTCCTCCTTGATCATGTGATCAGCTGGTTTTGGTTGTCAGCAGCAAAACTGGTTGATCC